ATTAGATTTGGAGCTGTAACTGATCCTGGTCTTGTTCTTCTTATTTTCAAATCTTTAGGTGGGTTTGAATAACATTAAGGAGACTGATTTTGTGAATGTCACAATTCAATCCCTAATGAGAGTTACTCCATTAAGAAATTTCTTTCTTATCCCGGACAACTATCAACACTGCAAATCTCCACTTGTTCATCGATTTGGAGAGCTCACAAGAAAGATTTGGCATGCTCGAAACTTTAAAGGACAGGTATAGTCCTTTATGTTTACTTTGATGAAGTTATGGTTGTTGAAACTATAAATCTCAAAAATTCAATTCATGTGTTCTGAAACTTTTTGCATCTACAGGTGAGTCCACATGAGTTTCTGCAAGCAGTTATGAAAGCCAGTAAAAAACGTTTTCGTATAGGTGCACAGTCTAATCCTGTTGAGTTCATGTCATGGCTTCTTAACACACTGCATGCAGATCTTAGAACAACAAAGAAAAATACTAGTATCATCTATGACTGCTTCCAGGTTTTCTTTCTACCAACCTGATGTTCATTGTTCATAAGAATGTAGCTTGTTTCTATCGTTTCCCAATTTGTTTTTATCTTAATATAATGCTTGATAGGGGGAATTGGAGGTTATCAAGCAGATTCCTGGTAATTCAATCTCTGAGAAGAAAGAAAATGGTGATAACCCAAATGCTTTTCAAATAACTGATGTTGGAAGTGAACATAATACTATTATGACGGAAACTTCTAGAATGCCATTCCTGATGCTTGGCCTTGATTTGCCACCACCACCTCTTTTCAAAGATGTGATGGAAAAAAATATCATACCTCAGGTATTCAATACACTTACTTTAGGTTTTTAAAACTAATAAAATTTGATGTGAAGTGGCTTTTCTAATGTGTGGATTGTGCCTTATATGATAGGGTTTTAATTTCAATATCTGGTATGTAATTTAAGCGAAGCTGAAATTCTGCTAACAAGTATTTTTATCTTCAACCTGAACATGATAGAACTGAATTGTGGTGAAGCATGACAAATGTGAGAGTGTAACCAGATATGGTGTGCTTTTGTCTGAAGATAATTTAGTGTGTTGATGGTATTTAACTTCTAAACTCTTGCACTTTATAGATGGAAGGAGAAACAAAACTAAATAATATGATTTGAACACGAATTTTAGAAGCTGTAATTGCTAGCGCAATGGGTGTAAGAGATTTTGATTGATTGTGTTTGCTTTAGGCATGAAGCTGCCAATAGTCTGTCATATTCCAAACCCATTTAGTTTTAATGTGACAATTCTTTTTAATTATCTTCTATGTTGTTTGGTTGCAATTCAAGAAGAGCATACGAATGATAAAATAACTGTTTTATGTCTACTAAGAGAAGCTCAAATTTTGGGTTTACCGGAAAAGTTTTTTCTTTTTCCCTTTTGAAGTTCCAAAACATAAAAATATCCTCATCTTATTTCTAAACATTACCATAGAAGCTCAAACCCTTGTTTATTTATTTTTTTTTTTTGGTAATTTACTCCTTGAAAACTCTTTTACATTTATACAACCAAGCAAGCGTGGAATCACCAACTTATTCTTAAAAACTTTATTCATTATGAGATCGATTTAGTAAGCTCTATTTTATTTGTAGAAGTTTTAGTTGAAGCAGCTGTACCTAATAAACTCTTTTTCTGCAACACCTTGTCAGTATTTAATATAACATGTTAGTTTTGGTTTCAGTATCTCCCTAGTGTTTTTGGACAAATCTTATGTGATAAGAGTGTCAAGGATATCTGCATAGAATGTTCATGTTATTTTATATTTGGCATGTTGTCTTGATGATTGATACTGCTTTTGGGCAATTCCTTTCATTTTTTCTGATTTTCCGTATCGAGCAGAATAATGATACTCTAGCCAAATTTTGGGAATTTTTGTATTTTGTAGATGCTTTATTGATCCTTTTTTTTTTTTGGGGGGGGGGTGGTTCTTGGTGGTTGCAAATTTAAAAATTGATACTTAAGCCTGAATAAAATAGATTGGGTACTTTCATGGTAAGATAAATTCCATAGAGTGGAGAAATAAGAAAGATTTGGAAAGATAGAATCAAAGCAAACAAAATGAATGGTTTCTAAAGTGTTACTATGCATTCTATACCATTGTTTCTGGAGGCTAATCCATGGTTTTGTTTTAGGTTCCATTATTTAATATATTGAAGAAGTTTGATGGGGAATTGGTGACTGAGGTTGTTCGTCCTCGTGTGGCTAGAATGAGATATCGCGTCACAAGATTACCGCGATACTTGATACTTCACATGCGGCGCTTCACAAAGAACAACTTTTTTGTGGAAAAGAATCCGACATTGGGTAAGTTTTTATGATTGTTTGGGTTTCTTTTGTATAATGGATCCACAAGGACTATCGCATCAATTGTGATCATAGCCTGGTTTTGCAGTGCCTTATGCTAACTGATATTACTGTTCCAGTCAATTTTCCTGTGAAAAATTTGGAACTAAAGGACTACATACCTTTGCCAACACCGAAAGAGAATGAGAAATTGCGTTCCAAGTATGATTTGATTGCCAATATTGTTCATGATGGTAAACCTGAGGAGGGTTTCTACAGAGTTTTTGTGCAGCGGAAGTCAGAAGAACTATGGTAGTATTCTTTTTATACACAATTTGTATAAATGTGAATGAAAATGCAGCAATCATTTGAACTGAGACATTGGATATCCACGTTTTCAGGTATGAGATGCAGGATCTGCATGTTTCAGAAACACTTCCTCAAATGGTTGCACTCTCTGAGGCTTATATGCAGATATATGAGCAGCAGCAATAGCCTGGAAGAATTGAAGCTTCAATGGTGAATGTTGTATTGGCTGCTTCAATTGCTGTTAGATGAGTTCAATTTTGTGTATCTGAGGAAGTATAAAGAGATTGGAAAATGGTTTTCACTCTTCTGGGCCAGCAGCTATACCATTGTAGAAGCAGTTGCCTTAGTAAGGTTTAGAAAAATGTCGAGGTTTTGTAGAAATTATTAAACACTATTAAGTTTTTATGCACTGGAAATCATCAGAAACATCAATTTCCAGTATCCCCATAACAATTTTGGTAGTGCTTTATTTTTTAACATGTAAAGTATTTCAAGTGCAAGACGATAAATCAGAAATGATTAGGAACCAAATCAGATCTTTATGCATTTATACTTTATAATTTCTTACTGCATTTTATCTTTACCATTAATGTTTAAACCTTTTAAAGTCGCATGGGCTGTACGTGTTTATTTATATATATTGTGTTGGATTGAAATTCAAATCACTTTTTGCAGCATTTAGGAGCCCTTAAACCATCCTGGGATCTGCTTATGTGTTCACTTTTTTCTGCATTTGACTTTGTTGGACTGAATGTTGTACCTTAACCCATACAGAGTAATGCCTGTAATTATGGAATGGTGTTTGTTCATTTAAGACGTAATTGCATTCTTGAAATTGATTTGTCATTGAGGGGAGGATTTGAGATGCTCTACTTGGAGACGATAAGTGAACTGTGATTGACCATACATTAGTTAGAAATTAGAATGGAGGTGTTATAAAAACTTTGCAGGCTTGTGATTACTAGTTGTAGAAAATGAATATCAATAGGGAATAGATCTTAATCATTCATATATATAATATAAGTGTTAGAAGATCTTTCAGGTAAAGTTCAGATGACGAAAGATCCAAAGTTTTACTTCCTTTTAACACAGGCTGTTACTAATTACTTCTATTCCTGCCTGTGGTCTTGAAATGAGGACTTGAAGATTTGGGATTTTTTTTTCGGGGGTTGAAAATGAGGACGTTCATGGGGTAGTAGATTCCGGCGATGTCAATCGGGCTAGGCAGAGATAAAATTTTATTATATCATCTTCAACCACATTTCTTATACGGATCCCCAATTCGTCAGAATTAGGGTGTGGCGGTGCAGGGCGGGGAAGCCGCCCGGCCCTGCTTTTGCCTCATTTTGTTTTAGTTTGTTAATCCCTTCACATCCTGTCCATACAAATTTTGATATTGTATTTAGTAAAATAAAGCAAGTGCGCAAGCTTTTTCTTGTTTATGAATAAATTACACTAATTCTAGACAAGATCTATAACGTGGACGCAGTAAGAATTAGAAAGCTACTTTGCATACTAGGTTAAGATATAAATTTTATTTTAAAATTTTATTACCATATTACACTAACATTACTCTTCTCCCATTATTCAAATTCACCAAGAGAGTAAGTTATAATAGAATAGAGGAGTACGGTTGTGCAAAATCATACTAATATATTAACGTAAAACTAACAAAATCATATATAATGTTGAAACTTATAAAATGCATTTATACAAAATAGTCTTAACACCCCTCCCTTTGAGCTAGCCTTTGAANTACACTAATTCTAGACAAGATCTATAACGTGGACGCAGTAAGAATTAGAAAGCTACTTTGCATATTAGGTTAAGATATAAATTTTATTTTAAAATTTTATTACCATATTACACTAACATTACTCTTCTCCCATTATTCAAATTCACCAAGAGAGTAAGTTATAATAGAATAGAGGAGTACGGTTGTGCAAAATCATACTAATATATTAACGTAAAACTAACAAAATCATATATAATGTTGAAACTTATAAAATGCATTTATACAAAATAGTCTTAGCACCAATCCCCCCCCTTCCCCCCTCCTCCCTCTCTCCAACCCCCCCGCGGGCAATTCCTTGAGCTAGCCTTTGAATTATCAAGGTCAAAGTTTAGCAACCATTTTAAAGATAACTTATTCTGTGGGAAAACATTTAATTTCATCTAACAGTCAAATTGTAGAATTTCCATGCCAACATTTTTTAAATTAATCAAAATACTTCTGCTCCGAACTCCAAAGCCTATTAAATGTTAATCCTTTTAACCCCGGCCGGCCTCAGTCCTCTTGACCCCTTCAAATTTCAAAATTCACTATAACTCTTCATACATTTCTCACTTCCGTATTCACATTCCCTCCCTCATGTCCACTGCATTTTCGCTGGCCCCTACGCCCACTGGCGTTGGCCTCGGCTACGGAATCGCCATTGCCGTGAGTATTCTGGTCCTAATCTCTACCATTATGCTTACTTCTTACATATGTATTCGGGTTAAAGCTAATGCTAGTAGCCGTGCCAGCGTCACCGAGGATGATACAATTAGTGGATCTAGCTCTCGCATCCACAACTCTGTCGAGCCAGTTGTTCTGGTTTTGGGCCTCGACGGGTTTGTTGTCGAGTCGTATCCTAAGATTGTTCTGGGGGAGAGTTTGAGACTGCCTAGGCCCAACAACGGCCCATGTTCTATCTGTTTGTCTGAGTATCTTCCTAAAGATTTGGTACGGTGCATTCCAGATTGTCATCACTATTTCCATGCTGATTGTGTTGATGAATGGCTGAAGATGAATGCCACTTGTCCTCTGTGTAGAAGTTCACCGGCCCTTTCTAAGGGTCCCACACCTCTGGCTACTCCTTTGTCTGAGTTGGTGCCCCTGGCGTTCCATGCCAGGTGATTTTTGTATCAATTCTTTTATTTTAACAATAATGCTATGCTTACTCAGGAGTTTATTAACCGTCTTACTACCTTTGTTAAAATTACATATAGTACCCATACTATGCGTTATATTTATAAAGGATAATAAGATGGTTAGTAAGATCGTGAGTAAGCATAACGTTACCCTTATTTTAATATACTTTTTTTTTTCTTTTTTTAATTCAAACGTAGTCAAACATAGAGTAGAGGTTAGAGATTACAAAATTGCTTAATAAAAGCCTTTACACGACAAGAACAAAAAGATATGTTATCACATTTTTCTAATAAAAATTGCGAATTAGTTGTAGCCGTTGAATTCAATAGATTATGGTCAACCTTTAAAATTCAATTGGATTGAGCTTATTTAGTTTGGTAACAATTAAGAGAATTATTGACAATAATATTAAATGCGGTTTGTTTAAATTTTAAATAACGCAAATTCATACATTATTAGGTTAAAATAAATCAACAATTAGAATTTTATAATTTGACATATGCTCTCATTTGTTAGTTTTGTGGGATATAACAAACTTCTCACTTATATCATCACTAACAAATGAGAGCATAATACTAATAAGAGTGATTACTGAAGCTTTTACTTAGTCAACAATTTTATGGTTTCAAAAGATTAATTAAGATATATATATAAGTTGATCCGAACATTTCGATGGAGGGAAAAAAATCCACTTAGGGGTCTTGGACCCTGGTGAGATTGTGTCACTCGACACTATCAAGTCATAATATGCTCTGATAGTAATTGTATCCATCTTGAGCCCATTGAGCCATAACCGAACTTGTACGAATTTGTTCTTGATCTTGTACAAAGGTCTTAATTAAAAATTGAAATGGTTAAGCAATTAAAGCTTAATTGAAACATGCTAAGTTGATGGGCCAAGTCAGCAGGCTAGGCATTGACCATCAGATGGGCCTGGTAAACAAAGTAAGTTTTCAAGAAAAACAAGGCCTAACTGTCACCCTTCTTGGTTTATTATAGGATTGTTTTTAAGTGAAGAATAAAATTATTATGCCGATGAAGAATATGTATATATATTTTAATACTGTTTTAACTTACATTAAAAGTTGGTAGAAGATGATTTAATTTGGAAGGGAATTAATATTCATGATTGGTCATGAAAACAATAATCAATTTATATGTGTGAAATAAAAAGTAGATTAATTGTGCTTATGAAAAGAAGTTCATATAGAAGAAAATTAAATGGAAAAAGAAGTTTAAAGAAGAATTTTCAATTCCAAACACGTAGAAAATTCTACCAAATCAAATCACACAAGAAGATGAAAAAATGAAAAGAGCTTGGTCAAGATTTGAAAGGTAATAGCAAAGCTTATAAATCAATTTAGGGTGGGGTTATCAACATCAACACAATTTCAGGGAAACTTGGTAGTAGTGGAGTGGAAATTGAATGACAAGACCCACTTCTCACATTGATTTTGATTTTTGACTCAATACGAAGCCACCCAGAAATTAACTTTTTTTGTTTTTACGATTGAGATGCTTCAACTTATCCTTTTACTCTTTTATTAATTTTTGGCTAAATTAATAGAATATTTTTAACCTAATTTCTATTAACTAAGGATCCGTTTGAGAGTATCGTAGCTTTCGTTTATGAAGTTAATCAGTTATAAAATAAAGCTAATGTGTTGGGTTAAAACATATTTTGATTTTCAAAATCTTTAAATATGTGTTTGTCAAAGTTTAGTTGCAAAATGATGTATGTATCATGCATTCAAAAACACAATTTATATATATATATATATATATAGGTCAACCAATATTTATAATTATTAAACTTCTTAACAAATACATTATTTATAGAGAAAAATCTGATAAAAAATGTAACTAAGATACGTCTTCATTAATGTCTCTAGAAGACCATTATTTTAAGCATCCAAATAGAAAAAATATTCTTCCAATTAATCAATTGATTTAGATGTGAAAAGCTTACTAAGTTAATTTTAAAATAATTTAATGTGAAAGGCTTATTTAGTTGCTTTTAATTAAACAATTAAATAATACATCAGTCTTTTCATTCCTGTATTGGGACAAAAATTAAAGTGTAAACTGCAAATAAATATCATATTAAAATCCTATAAATTGGATATGTTCATACTGCGAAATTTGAAAATTGAAAGGACTAAAACTTACCAAATTGTTAAAGGATAATAAAAGAAACATGTAGGGCTCCACATTTGATCAATAATGAATTAAGCAGCCAACAACTTTCAACTCTTCATAGAGTCTTTGTTCAAAATTTTCCATGCATATTGAAATATCTTTTCCACACAATGACTTCCTTTTTTATGGGTGGCTACTCTGCATCTTCCTTTATAAATTTTGACCTTCACAGTTCACATAATGAGCTACAAAGAAGACAGACACCATTACTATTTTACCTAACGTATTTCCATGCTTTTTCTAGAAACTCGATGGTGATTGCCAACTATTTTTATTTATTTATTATTTTCAAGAAATAATCTATATTGAACAAGTACCGAAATATGTACGTAACATGATTAATATTTTATGGAGAATGTTTCATATAATTAACTTACCCTTTTGAAAATTAGTCAGAGAATTCTTAGCCATGCAATTCTTCAAATGGCTTCCTACTTTCAATTAAGGGGTCCTAAATAAATTAGACTACACAATACATTGAGATTTACATTTGTTATGCCTAAGAAAGTAGGGTTGACGTCGAGCCTTGTCAGCATGGGTGGTTGGAGCTTAAGAAGGATAAACAACTACTCAGATGTAGCCACGTCACATGATGACGTGAGCAGCATGCTCCTGCCAGTGTAGTGGGTATGCGCCAGATTGACGAAAGGCTAGAAAGAGTCCACGTGTCCAATCCCTGCACAAGTCAAGGAAATCACTCGGACATGTGAGTAATAGAGAAGGATTTGCACGGCATCTGCCTCACTCACAGATTTAGTGATCATTACCTTAATTTATCCCACTATAAATAGAGGGCTCCTCTCCTGTTCGTGGGATTAGCTAATTTTTCTCTGAAATAGAATACACACACACACACACAGTCTCTCTCTCTATTGTATTTCTCAAGCTATAGATTAACTCGCTGAACGCGACTTGACTTCATTTATTAATACTATATCAGTGGACGTAGGATTCACTTGTTTGAGCATCCGAACCACTTTAAACATTGTTTTTTATCCTTTATTTAATCAAATCCCCGATAACCACATGTGACTTCTGAGTCCGCTCAGCATTTCTCACGTGCGAATAGTCGGTGTCAAAATCACGCATCAACAGTTTGGTGCTAAAAGGAGGGCTGATTTAGTACTTGTTCTTCATCAGGAGAATCTCTGACTAATCGGTCCCACTACAGCAAATGGCTCGCGGATTTGAATTTGAGCGAACCAATTATGGTGACAAAGAGATCCCCCAGGTGCAAGAGGACACTTCTCCCGAGGTGCCCTCAACCCTGCAAAATATCGTAGGGGATATCCCTTCAAGCTCACGGCTTGATCCAGCCGTCATGATTTAGTATCAACAGTTTGGTGCTAAAAGGAGGGTTGATTTAGTACTTGTTCTTCATCAGGAGAATCTTTGACTAATCGGTCCCACTACAGCAAATGGCTCGCGGATTTGAATTTGAGCGAACCAATTATGGTGACAAAGAGATCCCCCAGGTGCAAGAGGACACTTCTCCCGAGGTGCCCTCAACCCTGCAAAATATCATGGGGGATATCCCTTCGAGCTCACGGCTTGATCCAGCCGTCATGAGCTTCCTGGAGAGGTTCAACAATACTCTCCAAATGGTCAGCAGAAGGCTGGACCAAGTCATACCACCTGAATAAAATGAGGCGGTGCCACCACCAAAAGCGCAGAAAAGTGCAAAAACCCATAACGCGCGCACTGCAGCGACACAAAGAAAGGGAAAGCAAGTGGCACACAGTGGACCTAGAGGCTCCGAGGGACCAGCGAACACCGATCGTGCCCCAAGTAGAATACCCGTGGCATTGAGACTTAGTGACATGTCGTAGCCCGAGCCGTCCCATGCCACATCGCACGAGCACTCCCACAAAAGTGCAAGGTGGGGAGATTCCCATTATTGCCAAAATGACGACTTCAATCGTCATTGCACTGGAAGTTCCCACCGTCTGTGAGTCGCTTCGCACCACCGTAGAGGTCAGGAAGGTTCCCTGGATCGTTCAACGCCATCACACGACTCTAGCTAGCGTGTGTCGAGATTGGCCGGACTGCCGACCGAGGCGAGGAGGAATCTGACCTATGGTCTTTCCTTAACTACAACCGTGAGGGTCGAACCAACATTGCGGAAAGCGATCCCCAGATGGCTCCGCTGCCTCAAATTGAGGAACTACAACGAGTCCTGGATCAGTTAAAGGCTCAACGAAATGAGAAAGGGCAGGTCGCAAAGGTGTCTCCCTTTTCTCTGGCAGTGTTAGCCACCCCTCTCCCATCAAGATTCAGAATGCCTGACATGAGAGCATTCGATGGGAATTCCTATCCGCAAGATCATCTGTACGAGTTCAACGACCTCATGGAACTTCGCCAAGTCTCTAACTTGGCAAAATGCCGTTGCTTGGCAGTAACTCTTACTTCTCATGCTAAGCGATGGTTCAGGTCGCTCCCAATTGGATCAATCAGCTCGTGGCCTCAGATGAGCTCGACATTTTTAAGACACTTCCAGGCGAACATGAAGTTCTCGATGCCTCTAAGCTATCTCAGCAACATAAGGCAAGAGACGGATGAGCCCCTCCAATCTTATATTGGCAGATTCCATAGGGAGCTTCATAAGGTAGCTCACACTCCTGAAGAGTCCATTTGGACTCTCATCATTGCGGGGGTTCATCCACAGACAGATATGTGGAAAGAGCTGCAATCCGAGGACGATGTTTCGCTCACCTGCTTCTACAGCCTTACGGAGAAGTACCTTCGCATTGAAAACTCCGTGATGGCGCTCAATCGCCACAACCCCG